TTATAGCGTTATCAACACGACGAGTATAAGCGGAGCGATTTCAAAGTGAAACTTAATATTCTACTGCACAGAAGAACAAACCTACAGTTGATGTAGTTTGCACAACAATTGGTTGAGCTCCCCAACTTATTCCAGTAAGCTTACGTATTACATTATTTCTTGAGGACACCTTGTCCTTTTTGTCGCCGCAGTAAATGTGAGAGTGCGTTGAAATTTTATCCCCAAGCATTTTGGTTCTGAACAGTTTTTTTCTGACTTGGTGGTTGTTGAATGATACGTCTTAAGTTTTTTTGGGTTTGGCGAATTTTTCCTATAGTACATAAATATTTTTATTCCAGAGTAGCCAACAATTTGGTTTCTACAAACATACCGGACAAAGATCACAAACAAAATAATGCTGTTTTAATAAAAATACTCCCTGTATATTTTTTTAATATAAAATAATGTACTAAATTAAAAATAAAACCGTTAAATATATATCACCGTAACTTTATCCTTTAGAAAGGTATTGAAAAAAAATAATATTTTGTGATAATATTTTAATTACAAAAACCATTAACAGAAAGAAATTACTTATTTTCATTATTCCTATTTTATTAAACTACATAGACATATATAAATGATTTATAAAATTAGATAGTCTACACACGTTTGCATAACTTCTAATGATTTAAATCTTAACGCGATTTTTAGTTGAATTTACTTCACAACAGTAGTTTTGACAATTAGGTTACGATTTAGATACTCATAAAAAATTAATTCATCATAACATTAGGTACTTATAAGTAACTACTTGTAAAATAACGCCTATTAAAGATTGTTGTTCTAAATATCGTTATTCTTGAAATGCAAAACGTCAGAAATAAATGACGACATGCTGCGTCTATCATATCCAAAAACTATGGAATACGGCCGGTTTGCGCTCGACCGTTTTACACCCTTAGTGAGAGCGCCCACCAATCTGACGTGGCAAGTGGCAAGTAGCAAGTAGCACGCGTCTAGCATGTTACTTAAAATGTAACCAATGGAAACGAACGATTAGAATGAATGACGTCACTGTCATTTTGGTGTGCGCTGAATCATTAGTTTCCATTGGTTAGATTTTAAGTAACATGCTAGACGCGTGATACTTGCTACTCGCCACTTGCCACGCCAGTTTGGTGGGCGCTCTCACTAACCTGAAATCGACTGGTTTGCGCTTTGCAATTTTCATAATAGAAATATCTAACTACTATAGTTTCCTTAATCGGCCGATTATCCGTCAGGGCACCGGACCAAGGGTGTGACGGGTAATTGAAAAGACGGTTAGCAGAACATTAAAAAAAATTCATAGTATAACTCTTAAATTTTCTTTTGTATGTTTTATTTGACATATAAGAGGGATTTATGTTAGTACACAAGAATCAATTTAATTTAAATTATTTACGAAATACGAAATCTGTGTTTGTTTTATTGTTACTTCACATTTTGCAACGGCTGAAGTTCTTAATCGACGTACAATCATTAAATCTACCTTATTTGCTTCTTCTTGCCGAGAATACCACTTGATGAATTGTTGTATGTGCGATACAGCTCCTCTAGCTTATTTACGCAAATCTTTGTGAGTTGTAATAGCATCATCAACATCGCCACAGTTGGTTCAGCCATAACTTCATTTAAGGGGAGCATTTTCATCTTAAGTTGATTCAGGCCATAACTTATTCCACGCTCTTTTCAGCGTTACTTCCGAAACATCAGCCCAAGTATCCACAGCATTGTCGACGTGTTTTAAATTGTATGTTTTCAGTAATCTGGCAAAGAATATTACTCTTCCATAACTAGGTTTTGAATAAATTTTTTTCTGTATCGTCTTTTGAATATTTAAATTACCGACTGATCCATTGACTGTATCAATGATGTTGTATTCGTAGACAGAATAGAGTACGTGTTATTTTTATCGTCACCTCGCAGCATACCGGCTTTAGGATGGGCCAGGTGCATTGTCCAAAATGAGAATCGTCTTTGGTGGAAAATTGTTTGCAAACAAAATTAATTGATAACTAAATTTTTACTTATGATGTCAATATAACTTATATATGGACCCTGACGGTTAACAGAGGTGACGGTTAATAGAAAGACGGATAATCGAGGTTCCACTTTATATGCAAAAATATTTGACTTGGACGAAAGTGTTATTTCTTCAGGTAAAAATTTAAGGTCAATCTGAACTCATTATGATATACCAGTCGAAAGTGTATCTGCTCTAACTGCAAGCCAAATTTAAGTTTCGATATCTCGGTAAAGAATAAACCAAATGTATTGTTTTTTTTTTTTTAAGAAGAGTCTTTCGAAGTGTACAAATTTTTAAATTGATAGGTATAAAACTCAAGTTATTTTATAAGCCAAGAAATTGTTTATAACTTTAAAAAACTCTCCACGCTTTCTTACCCTATCTATTTCAATTTTTAAATTGAATTTGAAAGCTTGAGTCTTTCTTAATATGTTAAAAAATGCTTCTTTTTAACCCAGCATAATTTTGTAAATTTGTAATTTTTGCGCACTTTGAATTGTAAAATTAACGAAATTTAGAACATACTTCAGCCGTATTCCAATATCTTTCTAGACGGAATATAAAGGCTGTAAGTTATATTTAAGGGTAAAAAAAAATTAAAGGCAAAACTAAATTTTTGAACTTTTTTTTAATTATTACAATTTTTTAAACAATAAACAATAAATTTTTAATTTATAGCTAGTCAGATATTAGGAAAAAAAAATAAACTTTTCCTTGTATATATTTTTTGTAGGAGCAATATCTCTCGAGTTATGGGCGAATAGATGGGTGCAAAAAGCAAAAATTTTCGATTTTGTCAGATTTTGTTAAATAGAACATTAAGGACAAGGTTTGCGACTGACGCATATCGTAATTATTGATACATGGTTCATACTGAAGCGATTCCAGCAAAAAATAAACTCATATAAAAAATGTCCAATTCAAAACAGATCCGCCTGGACTATATAAATTTCCTTGATGACGAATGTCTCTTCACCCTAAGATACCTATAGAACCATAACATTCTATAAGCTTTACGGAAAATGCGACTAGAAGAAATAAACACCATCAATCCATATGGCGTTTTTACTAACATTATGTGTGACAATTCAAAAATATATAAATAATGTCTTTTAAAAAAGTTTTACTGTTAAAACTCATGTTGTAACTTGACTGTACTATAAAATAAAAAGTTAGCGAAACAAAAATTAAGTCTATTGCGGAGTTGGGTTGGTGGCAACAGTGAAATGAAGTTGTATGCAATTTTTTTGTAAGTTGCAATATTCCTCTGTATAAATTGGATAGCAAGATGTGTCAAAAATTTTTGAAAACATATTGTAAAGTTGAAAAGAAGTCAGTACAGGTACCAAGTTCTTCAACTCCTCGCAAGAAATGTGTAGGGCATCTTACAAGACGTTATTGAAGGTATTAAAAGCCGGGTAAGAGATGAATATCTGTCGACGAGACTACAAATCGCGAATTTAATTATTGGAGTTTTAAACAGCTCAGCTGATAACTCCAACAAGTCGTATTTAATCAGCGTAAAATGTTTAGAAAAAACCAAACATGCAAAAATTGCTCGATTTGTTAATGAATATTTGACAAATTTCTTTTTACCGAATCAAGTACCTTCTGAAAAAATTTTGCAACTAGTTAGTGATGCCGCTTCCTACATGGTTAAAGCTGTTACTATTCTTAAGATTTTTTTTCCAATTTGATTCATTGTACATGCTTAGCGCATGGTTTAAACAGGGTGGCAGAGAAAGTTAGACTCAAGTTTCCAAATGTAAACACTTTAATTAACAATGTAAAGAAAGTATTTTTAAAAGCACCATTGCCAGTAAATAGGCAGATGCTTCCCGATATCCCTTTGCCACCGGAACCAATTTTGACTAGATGGGGGACGTGGATGAATAGTAATATATTTGTTTCAAATAATTATATTGATATCAAAAATGTTATATCAAATTTTGATCCTTCTTTTGTTGTATTGCTGTTCAGAAATGTCAAAATATTTTTAGTGAGAATTCTTTCAGAATGAACTGTTCTATATAAAAGCAAATTTTGACATAATTGTAAACTCTATTTCAAAACTAGACAGTCAAAAATTATCTTTAAATGATAGTACTTGCATTATTGATTCTGTCAAAGAAAGAATAGTAAACCTTTTAGGAACAATTGAAAAAAAATTAAAGATAAATTAAGTGAAGTTTTAAACCGGAATGAAGGTTTAAAATCGATCAATAAATTACATAGTCCATGGAAGCTTTAACGAAGTCCCTTTAACGGGATCCATTAATATGGATCCCTCGCTAGTGTCAAATTGTAGATTTGAGTCAATTACATCCTGTGATGTTGAAAGATCGTTTTCCTCATATAAACACATATTAACCGATAGAAAACATAACGTTACTCTTGAAAATATTGAACATTTTATGATTATATATTGTAACAGCAACAACAAGGACATTTTCTTGTGAATTTTCATTTATATTTTTTTATTAAATGTAGTAATAAATAAACACTCTCTAAGTTATACTATAATTTTATTTCTCACCAAATCTCAAGCCCTAAAAATTAAAAAATATTTCTTTAAGTGCATAAATGCATATTGCACATAATAAACGCATATTTGGTTACTTTTTAAGTGCATGTTGCATGCATATTTTAACCATTTTTTAGAGCATATAATCCAGTCTCTACTCTAAATTCACAGGTTTTGTCTAGGAGTCTACGATATTAGAAGAAATGAAAAATGGTACGCTCAAACAGGAGGAAACAGATTAAAGAATGATACTAACTCTACTAGAGTGGTAAAAAACTATAGAAACGTGGATAAATAGAAAAAAATCATAAACCGTCGCCAATAAAATCACAAGAGAATTAATAAACGGTAAAGGAAATTTTTCATATTTTTTTTAATAAATTTTACTCGCAAATTAGCCTTTTGAAATGTCCAAATTGTACTTACTTTTATTGAAAGTGTACTTAATCTCCCTCATCTTGAACTATCCACGCACTGCAGTCCAAAAAGCCGAAAAGTCACTGACACTTATTTTAAACAAAATTATTTCCTCAACGCGAGCACAATATCCGCTTTTTTGAGAAATAGATGCATTGGAAGCTTTTCAATGGTTTTAAACCACGCGCGAAGATAAGAAGAAGGTGCTAGTGGGGGAAACCCGATATCAACGTCACTCAGTAAGATGCTTAGTATGTGACAATATTGTTTCTTATGCGCTGTTTATCGTAATAGACGATTGGCGTGGGAAATTGCGTATACGAGGGAAACAGAAATTGTAAACAGTTGCTAGGAAATATATTTTTAAATAAATTGTACTGAATAATATATTTAATATTAAATTTATATAATGTACAAAATTTTGCTGCTTTATTTTTATAAAAACTTTCAAGTTTTGAAAGCACATTAAAAATAATATTGTGAGTAATAGTTAAGTTAAGAGTAATATTTTAAGGTTATAATGACTAATAATTGTAGCGCTTGTTTCCAAGATCTTGGTACGGATGAAAAGCAAATAATAGCATGCGACAGTTGCCGTTCAAGGATACACATTGCAGAAAAATGGTCTGGCTTGTCCACATCCGAGATATGGGCAATTATTTTGCAGAAACGCCTACTTATGTACTTTTGCGCTAGCTGTCGTGATGCATTTAAGACTGTTTCTATATTTGTGCGAAGATTTGCCAAGCTGAAAGAAGGAATCACCAGTCTCAAAGAAAAGATTACATTAATGGAAAATGGTAATTCACAGACAACAGCCAATTCAGTTTTTTAAGTACAACAACGTATATATAGAGCTCCAAATCTTATGATTTATAAAATTCCTGAATATAACTCTAATGTCTTAGCTGATCGCATTAGCCATGACAAATCTTACTTGTATGAGGTATTTTGTTTACTTGGCGGCTTACAGCAAGAGGAATCCACCATATCACATCTGACAATGTTGGCAAAGTATCCAGTTACAATCAAACTAGACCAGTAAAAGTTATATGCAATCGGTGAAATTGGCTCTTAAGTCTAGTAATAAGCTTCGAAGTACAGTTTATAGAATATCAAACTAAGATGGAACAAGACGCTTACAAGGCAGCTAAAAAGGAACTAGAATAAAGAAAATCTGCTGGCGATGAAAATTTATGCATTAGATACCGCAGTGGTGTTCCTACAGTTTGTGTAGTTTAACTACAAAAAAAACTAGTATTCTTCTCATTAACAGTTTTTTTTATCAAAATGTTAGAGGTATTTGTACAAAGATTTCGGAGATTCTGAAACATATTTCCTGCTGCTTGTACAATATAATTATTTTAGTGGAGAGTAACTTGAATGATAACATAACTGATTGTGAAATTAAATGTAATAGTTGTAGTATCTATAGACGTGATAGATCCCAGAGAACCAGTGCAAAGTTGTGTGGCCGTTGTGTACTAGAGGTGTGCTTATTAGTTCTTTTAGACGAACTAGTTCAACAGAACTATTTCAAAAATGAACTAGTTCGGTGAACTAGTTCGCGATAGAACTATTTGTAGGACCGACATCGAAATCCAACCCTAACAGAACTGGTTGCCAGATGTCTCGTCTCAATCACCACACAAGCTCGGCACTGGCCGCCCGTTTACTTCGGTTTTCAGTCAGTCTTTCACTAGTTCACTACCGTACAAGTAGTTCGGAACTATTTCTTTCTTTTTAGTCAGTCTTTCACTAGTTCACTACCGTACAAGTAGTTTGGAACTATTTCTTTCGATCGTATGTTTAGGTTTAAATGGTTTAAATTATTATATGATTAGTTATTTTTTATTTGCAAAAAATTATTAAGATTTGTTTTTTATTAGTCGTTTTAAATATAAATATGGTTCAAGTATGATTTATTTTTATATTTACGTATATTTAAACTCATAGGTATTTATAATTAGGTTTTTTCTAAAAGAAACTTTACAAAAAAAATTAGTGAATTTTCTAGGAACATTAAATAACACATTTTCATTCTCACTTTTACATAAAATTATATATTATGTAAATGTCAATCATTTTAACCACAACTTAATTTTTTATTTCAAAATTACAATACAAGAAACAACACAGCATGGCAACATCCAAGCCAATCCATGGGCATAAGATCCGAACCATTATGACATTAAGATAAGACTTTATGTTATTATCACATTCATAAGAATTATGAATCTGTTATCTGAGGCTAATCGGCATTTTTTTTTTAACTAGTTAGTCCATCCATTCATAAAATAATACATATATGTTCTCATTCGTTTATTCATTATTTTGTTCTTTAAAAGTTGAGACACTACTTGAGAATTAATGAACTAGTTCAACTAGTGCAGTTGAAAGAATCGTTCATTAGAAATTTTTCGATGGTGAACTACACATCCCTATTGTGTACTAGTGGTTGTTAGCAACAAGCTAAAATCACAAACCATTAGTATTCGTGAAGATCGGGTTGAGCAAATATATATCTTATGTCAACTCAATGAAATCCCTCACCTCAGCCAGTTGGTCTGTGTCGTTTGAACTGACAAGAACTACATCACGTGTTCCAGTCGAGCAAGGAACCATGTTGCTCTTTATGTATTAACAGAATGCACTCAGACGACACTTTTAACAAGTTTTACATGATGCTATGAATAACAAGATAGGATCTTCCCGTAGCCCAAAATCGGTTGTGTTCGCGCATGCCGTCATTGGAGAGTAGAATTTGAATTCTTGTTAAAGTTAAATGGGGTTTGTATGCATTCTGTGATGAAATTACTGGACGAAAATAAGTTAAGAAGTTCAATAATTACAATAATTATACACATAAGGAAATCTCCAAACTAGTTATTAAAGATTATTTATTGACACATACAAAAAACTGACATTTCGAACGTGCAACTCTCCAATGACGTCACGACTTATGTGTAATATCTTATCTTCTTATCATAGTATCATGCAAGTTTTACTTAAAATCTACTTATACACCTTAAGCAAATGGATTTTCCTAATATAGGTAAATGTTCGCCAACATTACTCATCAGTATGGCTGACATGCTTCGAGGACCAACATGTTTGGTTTTTTTTTCTTTGGAGTCCTTATCGGCCAGTACCGATAAGAATCTCAGCTAAGTCAACCATATCATTTAGAAAGGGTATTTTCTTATTTCTGGTATGTAACTCAATATATAGAATATATGAATTGTATGCTGCCATCATAAGAACTCTGTAGTAAACCTTCTTTCCCCATTTTTGAGATTTTCTATTGAGATCTACAAAGATGTCATTTGATCACATCTATGAACACCTTCCGTGTAATGGTTATAGAATTCAATCGATACAGGACAACAAATGTTGGCTTTTGTACCATCTTTCAGTTTTCTACACACAGTTGTTTCTTCTGGCTTATGGAAGTTAGTATAATAAAATCTTTTGTGTCCTGCCATCGTATAGCTAATGTTCCAGTTTCATAACCTTTTACTTGCGATTCTCCTCGATTTGGCTTGCCATGTAATTTAGGTAAATTTTTTCGGGTACTCATGCATGTACCGACAGCAGGAAACATAATGGTATCCATAAGATAACTGTTGTAAAAAATCTGTCCAAGCAAATTACAACATTTTCATTAAAAAGTGTTGAAGATAACTGATTTACGACAAGTTCTCCTAAAGTACCTGCTATCTTATTATCTTTTTTGCCTGCATACACATTTATATCGTAAACGTAGCGAGTTTCCGAATCGCATCTTGTCCATAATTTTATGCCACGTTTTATGGGTTTGAGAGGCAGACACTGTTTTAATATAGATCTCCCTTTGAATTTTGTCATGGACTCATCAATTGCTTGATGGGTAGAATCACTTCTAGCTCTCATAAAACTTGTCTTCGAGCAGGAAATATCATCATCTATATAATAAGTTTTATTTGCTGCGGCAGGTTTATTGGGTTCGGCAAAATACAATTTTGATAATAGTAGTTCTCTATTGCAATATACCTTTCCCTGATATTGCAATACGAATATAATCGTTTCCAAGCGATTTATTATTAGACCAGTACATTGCGAAAACAGGAACTCTAATATAATGCATAACTAACGTAACACCAGTAAGCATCATCATTTCTTTTTGGCACCTTTTGACAAAAGTTTTCTTCTTTTTCTCTTCAAAAATTTTAAGCCTACGGTTTGTACACTGGGCCATATACATAAACAAACTTTTAAAAACAATCTTATGCAGAACTTCCTCGATTCAATTGATCTGTAATACCTGGGGCTGTTCTGGCTGTTAGATCATATCTCAGAATAAAATTTTCTACATTGAGATCAGTCCAAACAGCGGAAAATTATGTACTAGTTGGCGGCAAATATTGCATACCGTCGTCTGGATCTTGGATATTTTCATCATCGTCAGAGGATTCCTGATCTGAAATTTGAGCTGCGTTTTCAGTTTCATTACTTATATTCACTTTACTTTCAAGTGAACATTCCTCACTTAGTTCATCTGATGACAAAATGAAGTCCTTATCCACCATATTATCATCACTACTATAGTCTATATTTTTAATTTCATCAATATTATTAGCATAGTAATCAAGTTGATTTTTGGTAAGTTTCTGTTTCTTTCGATCCATGCTAAAAAAAGGAAATTGTTTATACCTGACGGGATAATATTTCCCAGTAAAAACACCTGTTGGGATATATAATCCCATTCAAGATTTATTGATTATTACCATAAATTTCGAACTGAGCAGCAATATTAAATTATGTACTCACCTATCTTAATCTTTTATAATTAATAATCAGCAACCAAAATTATCCTTATGCCAACAGAAATATATGCTACTACCCATTATTTTAAATCTTTATTTTCTTGCTATGTTTACATTACAATGCTGAATATGGATTCTCGACTTATGGTTATAAGAAATGCCATAGTCTATTGAAGTATCCCGTCTCAACGCAGTTTTAAGCCAGTTTAAAACATTCATAATGTTTCAAACATGTGTTGGGATAAATATTAGAGTAGGGAATTTTACACGTCAAAGGAGTGACCGCAACGATAACAAAAGTGAAGCCGAGTAAGCACCAAACGCGTGTG